GTTCGTGGTGAGGAGAACCTAGCGGGCTGGAGGCCACGGAGTGACAGCCTCATCCTTGACCACCAGTGGGAGCTGGAGAAACTCAGCCTGCTACAGGAGGTGGGGGGCCGGGGCCGGGGAGGGGGCGGCCAGCAGGAGGCAGGACAGCGACTACTGGGGGCCCGAGTGGCAGTGTCCGGGGGGCAGAGCAGGGACGGGATACAGTCTCCCAGGAAGGGGCCAGGGGCGCCAGAAGAGGAAGGGCAGGGTGGGGAGAGGTGGACTGCACAGGACCTGTGGGGCGTGCAGGGGGTTGGCCAGCAGAGGTAGGCAGGCCCAGGGAGGGGTCCTGCGGGAGGCGGGTCGGTGCATGGGGAACCGGAAGTAGACGGTGAGCTAACTGCGGAGAGGTGGGTCGGAGCCGGAGGAATGCCCGTGGGGACTAGGACTGTGCTTGGGGTTCTTGGGGATGGGACAGCACCCAGGGGACAGGAGGTGGAGTGGGCAGCACGGGCGTGGCCACGGGGTGAGGCCGACCCTCCTCCGAAGGTGGAGAAGACCCGGCACTACCTGCTCCTGCGGGAGAAGCTGGAGACGGCGCAGCGGCCGGGCCCCGAGGCGCTGTCCCCGGTCTCCAGCGAGGACTCTGAGTCCCACAGCTCCTCTGGCGCCTCCTCCCCGCTCTCTGCCGAGGGCCGGCCATCACCCCTGGACACCCCCAACGAGAGGCAGCGGGAGCTGGCCGTCAAGGTGGGCTGGGGGCTGCAGATGGCCAGCCAGGTGGGGCCTGTGCTGCGGGGCCGCCCTGCGGGTGAGGGGCGTGGGGGTTGCTCATCCGCCCCTCTCCCAGCTGTGAGCCACCCTCCTCGAATACCCCTGTGGATGGGGAGCTCACCACCCTGGTCCTCCCCCCGTGAGGGACCTGACCCTGGGGTTTCCCCAGACCTCCTCACCTCCTGGGCCACGCTGCCCACCTCACCTTCTGCCCAGGGCCCTGGGCCGCCTGCTGGGCCTGGGAGGTGGTCCTGACGTGCCGCTCCCCACCCCCCACAGTGCTTGCGCCTCCTGACGCACACGTTCAACAGGGAGTACACCCACAGCCACGTCTGCATCAGCGCCAGTGAGAGCAAGGTGGGTGGGGGCGCCAGGGGCCCTGCCTGGGAGGTTGGGTGCTGTGTGGCAGACAGAGGCTGTGTCCTCTACACTGGAGCCAGAGCTGAGCTGGGGGGACGATGGCCAGGGTGGAGGAGGGGTGGCCCAGCCCACGCTGCAGGGTGTCCCCCCGCATGGTGGGCACTGTCCAGCCCCCACAAAAGGCCCCTCTCCCCTCTGCAGCTCTCTGAGATGTCTGTCACCCTGCTTCGGGACCCCTCAATGTCCCCTCTGGGGGCAGCGACGCTCACACCTTCCTCCACATGCCCCTCCCTGGTCGAAGGGCGCTACAACACTGACCTGAGGTGAGCAATGGCGGATACCCGAGGAAGCTTCCGGCACCACGGCCAGTGAGAGAGGCCATGACAGGGCTCAATGGCCCGAGTGTCCTGTGAAGACCATGCACGTGCCAGCCAGGTGGCACTGTCCCTTGGCTCCTTCACAGCCCTTGGGGTCTCTTGTCTTTCGTGGGATGCTGTGTGCTAAGACAACAATTAAAAACAGTTGTGAACAGACACGGGGGTTGTGCAAACCCACCCTCTCTGTGGGACAGGGCCCCTGGATCGCTCAGGGGAACGGGCTGCAGACAGCAAGGGGAAGACCTGAGCTCACAGTGGGAACCCCTTGTCTCTAAGGGGGAACCCGAGCTCTCTGTGCTAAACGCCCCACTGTGTCCAAGGGGACTCAGCTCACAGAGGGAACCCCTGTGTCTAACAGGACCCTGAGCTCACACTGGGAAGGAACCTTGTGTCTACGGGGCTTCTGAGTTTACAGTGAGAACCCCTCGAGTCTAAGGGGACCCTGAGCTCACAGTGGGAACCCTTGTGTCTCAGGGGGGATTCTGAGTTCACAGTGGGAACCCCTCGAGTCTGAGGGGACCCTGAGCTCACAGTGGAAAGGAACCCTTGTGTCTGTGGGGGCTCTGAGTTCACCCCTTGAGTCTAAGCGCCATGTCAGGGGCTCTCTGTTCAGATCACTGGCAATTTCTACTTGTTTTAAAGTGTCTCATGGTCCATGTTTTCTTTTAAAAAAGAAAACAACCACCTTGCAGCCCCCAGCACGTCCAGTCACATCCCTGAGCCCATGACCACGTCCTTCAGCCTGTCCTGAGGGGCAGAGGCTGGGGCCCGGGGATCTGGGCCCCAGCCTGGCCGCCCTGCTGCAGAGGTGGGACTGAGGGGCTGGTCCGCGGGGCGGTCGTCGGGCTCCCCTGGGGCCAGGCCTTGGGCTCTGAGGAAAGTGGTGCTGCCGTGGGCCCAGGTGGGCCACCCAGCCAGCCAGAAGCTTCTCACAGGGTCTTATCCGCCTCCTCACTTCCCAGGACCCCACAGCCCTGCTCCCGGCCAGCTAGCCCGGAGCCTGAGCTGATACCTGAGGTGGATGCCAAGAAACCACCCACCCCCACCCAGACCCCGGAGGGTGACCAGGAGCCCCAGCGCCTGCTGGTGCCGGACATCCAGGAGATCAGGGTCAGGTGTGTAGCCTGCAGCCTGGCCCTGCCCCAGACGGGTCTGCCTGGCCCATGGATGGAGGGAGGGTCTGTGCCCATGGGCCAGGCTGGGCAGATGGCAGCGGGCAGGAGGGTGGCTCAGAGCCCGGCCAGCCCTGGTGGGAGCTGGGTGGGAGGACGGCTTGGGTGGCTCAGCTGCTGGCTGGTTTGGCCTCTGCACATGGGCCTCTGGCCGTCCAGCCTTGAGGAGCCACAGCTGGCTGGGTGGGCTCAGGGCTCCAGCTTCCTTGAGCCCCACTTCCCAGCCAGGAGAGCAGGGGCTGGCGGCCAGCCGGCGGCTCTGGGCCTGTGCCCCAGCCACCTGGACGCCCTGCCCTGGGGCTGGCTCTGCCCACTGATGCCCAGAGCAGCTGAGCAAGCAGGTGCCCCTCCCCCAGCCCCATCGTCTCCAAGAAGGGCTACCTGCACTTCCTGGAGCCGCACACAGCCGGCTGGGCCAAGCGCTACGTGGTGGTGCGCCGCCCCTACGCCTACATGTACAACAGCGACAAGGACAGCGTGGAGAGGTTCGTGCTCAACCTGTCCACCGCCCAGGTGGAGTACAGCGAGGACCAGCAGGCCATGCTCAAGGTGAACTGCGGCTCAGGGCGACCGGCCCACATCCCACCCTCCCACCGAGGGCCAGGTCCTCAGCATCCGAGGGCTCTGCCCGCCCATGGGGCTCAGAGCCCCGGGGACAGTGGGGCTGAGGGGTGCCAGCACTGCCTCCCACTCCCAGTGGGCCATGCCAGCCCACAGGGAAAGTCCCACAGGTGTGGGTTTGAGGGGCCGGGGCTCCCTCTGTGGGGGTGGGGCACTGTGGATTCAGCCGCAGGCAGGCTCAGCCACTAGGTGCCCCCCGTCTGGGCTGAGCTCAGGCAGCGCCAGGGTCCCGGGGAACAGAAACCCCGGCCCATGAGGGGTGGTGCGGCCTGGTTGGGGGCTGGGGGGATCAGTTCGCCCGGACTGCCAGGCTTCCAGAAGGAGCCCTGCCCGCCAGCCCCTCTGCCCCCAGGCAGTCATGCTGGTTGTGCCTCCCCTCACCCGCCCAAGCTTTCCCACTGGGGTCGATGCTGTCCTCGGGTCTCACTGCCCCCCGCCTCCCGCCCCCACCCTGCAGACACCCAACACGTTTGCTGTGTGCACGGAGCACCGTGGGATCCTGCTCCAGGCCAGCAGTGACAAGGACGTGCATGACTGGCTGTACGCCTTCAATCCCCTCCTGGCCGGGACCATACGGTGCGTGGGGACCTGGGTGGGGGCCCCTTCCCCGTGGGGGTTCAGCAGAGGTCCCGGCCTCCATGGCGCCGCACAGAGCTTCCGGAGAAGGGGCTGAGGGCGTTCCTGGGGGACAGTGGTGTGTGTAGACCCCAGAGGAGATGTTCAGAATTGAAATTCTAACCAGGTCGATGTCGATGTAAGGGGAACACACAGAGTGTAGGGCTTCCGGAACCTTCCCCCCACAAGCAGAGGCAGGGTGACAGGCAGGGGGCTGGACATTGGCACGGAACAGATTCAACCCCTCTGTCTGGGGGCAAGAGCAGCCCCCAGGTGGTCCAGATGGTTAACATGATTGGCTGCTGACTGAAAGGTTGGAGGGTCGAGTCCACCCAGAGGCAGGACCTGGTCATCTGCTCCTGGAACATCAGCCACGGAAAGCCCCGTGGGACGCGGTTCACGGGGCGGCCCCACGGCTGCAGCGGGCTTCCTCGGGGCAAGGGGCAAGGAGGGAACTGAGGGGTACAGGGCCTTGGGGCCCAGCGAGGGCAGCCTGGGCTGCACCCCCACCACAGGCAGTGGCAGTGGGACCCCTTCCTGGCCTGACCCCCCAACTCTTGTGCAGGTCCAAGCTCTCCAGGAGGAGGTCTGCCCAGATGAGGGTCTGAGTGGAGCCCCCAGTGATGGCCCAGCCGCCCCCCCCGTCCGTCTGTCCTGTCACCCGCCGCCAGCCCTGCCTCCACCAGACAGTGAAGGACCGAGCCTCCCTGCCGCTGGGACACCCGCAGCAGGGGCCCGGAGCCCCCAGTCTCCTGCCCGTCGGGCTGCAGCCCCACGACCTTTGCACTCACAGTGGACGCCATGCGTGTTGTCGTCTCTGAAGCTGCTCTGGGGAGGTACCCAGAAAGTGAGGAGCCCCAGAGGGTGGGGCTGGGGTGGAGGCTGCAGCTCTAATATTTTTTTAAGGATGGACAGACTTATAATTAATCTATCGCTAGTTAGTGACACTGACGCCGCCCCTGGAAGTTAACCTCTCCCTGACTTGCTGTATTTATAAGTATTTATTTCTGATGCCTTCACTAGGCCTGGGAGAGTCCCATGGACCCTCCCCCTCCATTTGTCCCCCCATTCCTCTACTGGCCTCTTAGGGAAAAACAAGGTGGGCAGCGCCGTGGCAGACCATGACAAGAGGCCAGGGCCACCCCGGGCAGAGTGTGGGGGGCGGTGCTCGTGAGGAGGCCTGCCCAGGGCCTCTCCCCTGCACTGTCCCAGGGTGTGTGGGGGGGGCATCTCCTGCGCTGGAGTGAACAGTGGCACCCTGTTTCTAAGGGAGGTGGAAGCCACCTCCCCCTGTGCACCCCAGGATGTGACTGAAGGGCCATGCAGCAGCTCCTCCTAGGAGCAGGTGTGGGTGACAGTGGCCGAGGAGGAGGCAGGCAGGCTCTGCGGGAGGAGGCCGGGTGCCTGGGTGGGGTCAGGTGAGACCCGTGGCAGTGTCCCTGTGCTGAGCCCCCACCTGGCTGCCATGAGGGTGGGAGCCGGGCTGAGAGAGCTGTGGGATGGCAGGGGGGCTATAGGGTGAGTTCTGGGGAACAGCCAAGGTGGTCAATAGCTTGGGGTGCAGGTGAGAAGTGAGGTGATTGAGCACAAAGTGGCTGCTGGGAGCCTGCGGCTTGGGGATCCAAACGTTTCCATCAGGGTTCCCCTCACTCAACCCCAACGGTTTTCTGAGAAAATGCCGTTGGGTGGGGGTGTCTGCACATTGATGACATAACTACAGCTTTTCTTGGGGCCCAGATGAGGCTCCTGTCCTGAGAAGCACGGGGCCTGGGTCCCACCCCAGCAGAGGACAGAGGTGACAGCAGACTTCGGGGGCACAGACACACAGCAGGGAGGAGTGAGCTAAGATGAGTGGGAGCTGAGACGAGAGCCACCTTGCCAGGAAGGAGGGAGGCGTATCCAGGGTGCAGCGCCGGCCCCCTGCCTCGGGGCGCAGGTCAGCCAGCCTGAAGCCCAGCCGTGGCCTGCCCGAGCCCTCCCACCAGGACCCAGGTGTCTGAGGCCTGCCAACCTGCAGAGCACCTGCCTGGGGGGGCGGGGAGAAGGAGGCCCCTGAGGCGGGCGAGGGAGTCACCTGAACACAGCGTCTAGGACAAGGGGTGCCGTTTGGCAGTTGCTGCAGAGCTGGGGCCGTCTGTGTCCTCCGTTGAGTCTGCTCCCTGGGGAGGCCCTGGACACGTTGAGTCAACACCCACGTCTGAGTGGGGGTGCCCGGGCCCTCGTGCCGCCCTGCGTGCAGCGACTGGGAGGCTGTTTGGTTGAGGGCAGCTGGCTCACCTGCTGGGGCCTCAGAGTCCCCATCTGTGGCTGCTCTGGGACCCGAGGGCACCGGTGCCCCTTGGAGGGGCTGAGGGGAGCTCCACTCAGCTGCTGCCCCTGCACCCTGAGAGATGGGCAGGCAGAAAGCTGCCCCTCAGAAAGCTGTTCGGATAGCTGAACCCCTGCTTGGTGTCTGATGTGGCCCCACTGGGCTCTGGGCATGGCCCTCCTCCCCTGGGGGGTGCTCTGTCCTGAGGGTGACAGTGCTCCTTCCGCTGCAGCCCAAAGGGCCGAGGGTCCAGTGACCCGCCGGGGGGGCCCTGGGGGACAGGGGGTGCTGCGCTCCAGGCCAGGGAGCTTCTAAGTTACCAGCAGGCTACAGGCCACACACACAGCCCTGCGCCACGGCCCATTCCCCCACTGTCGCCCCCTCCCCACCTCGCCGTGGACTGCTACTGAGTGTGGACAGGGTCCCTGAACGGGGTCACAGGGCCTGGGAGGGTGGCCCTTTCACCCCAAGGCCCAGGCCGTGAGTGGCTCTCCTCCAGGCCTCCTTCAGTTTTCCGTCCTGCGCTGCCCCCCCCCCCGCAGCTGTCCCCACTTTGTACATACGTGACCGCCTGTACCGCGCCCCCCCTCGCTGAGCCCTGCCGTCTCCCTGCGTGTCAGGCTGTGGCCCCGTCCTGTTCGTGTGCTCCTAGACTCTGTCCAGTAAGAAATAAATGTGGCTCTTACACAGCACAACCGCCGTGTGTCGTCACTGGGGCGTCTGGTGAGTCAGACACCCACGTCCCCAGCGGCAAGGCCTGGGGGACTCGTCTCGGGAGCACCCACCAGCTGCCCGGGGACGCTGACTGTCCTGAACAGCCCCTAGGTGGCCTTGAGCATCTCCTCCTCAGAACCCCATCCACCAGGGGCATGTGATCATCCCCGAGGCCTCACTGGGTGAGGGCCACCACTACCCTGCTGTGGGGGACAGTCTGTGGCAGTCCCGGGTGCCAAGTAGGCCCCAGCCTCAGAGCCCAGGCTGACTCAGGGATGGCGGTTCCATCACCAGTCTCCCCCCAGCATCCTGGCCATTATGTGGGGGTCAGCTGGCCACCAGTGCACCTATAGGAGAGAGCATTTTGCCTGCTTCAGCCAAGGAGCCCTTCAGAGGGCCTGGGAGGGGGATCCTGCCCAGTTCCGCTGGGCCATGGGTTCCAGGGTCATGTGGGACTAGAGACAGGAGGGCGTGTCCTGGGGGCCTTCGGGAGAACCCAGGCCTGGCCCGGGCTGGGTGGGTACTGTTAGAGGCTCCCAGGGTCAGAGTACAGGCTGCAGTGGGGCAGGTCAGGGACCCACATGGCTTGGGCCTGTAGTCCATGACAGCCTTGTCTCTCTGCCAGAATCTCTCAGGGCTCAGCCACTTCCTAGACCCTGCCCCTCGGGCTCAGGATGGGCAGCACGTGACCCCACACCTCAACCCAGGCTCCGCCTCCACCCATAGCCCTGCTCCCAGAAGGAGGCTGGCACCCTGCAGAGCCAGGGAAAGGGGGCCATAGCCCTGCTCCCAGAAGGAGGCTGGCACCCTGCAGAGCCAGGGAAAGGGGGCCATAGCCCTGCTCCCAGAAGGAGGCTGGCACCCTGCAGAGCCAGGGAAAGGGGGCCATAGCCCTGCTCCCAGAAGGAGGCTGGCACCCTGCAGAGCCAGGGAAAGGGGGCCATAGCCCTGCTCCCAGAAGGAGGCTGGCACCCTGCAGAGCCAGGGAAAGGGGGCCATAGCCCTGCTCCCAGAAGGAGGCTGGCACCCTGCAGAGCCAGGGAAAGGGGGCCTGGGGGCACAGGGCGGGGCCCACAGCAGCCCATTCTGGCTCCAAGGCAGCAGCACGAGAGAGGCCCGAGGCCCGGGAGCAGGGTGAGGCAGAGGGGCTGGGTCAGAGGACGCCGCAGACAGCAGGCACCAGTGAGGAGAGATGATGGCCTCCCCGGTGAGGAAGGCTGCTCTGGGGCAGGCGGGCGAGACCCACAGCACCAGCCAGCAGAAGTCCTACCCCAGGCTGGCCACTCGGGGGCTCTCAGCACACTTAACCCTCCTCCAGAACCTTCTCCCCTGAACCCCAAGAGGGATGGTAGGTGGGGCTGGAGAGAGGAGGGTGGGGAGCCTGGGAACTGAAGGGCTGCCCGTTGTTAAATTACCTGATTCCTTTCACTGACTATTTTCTAAATAAGAACACCACCCCCACTTGGTGGGTGGCCCTGGTCTAAGCCTGCCGCCAATGTCCCCTCTTTAACCCTCCTGACAGAAATTCTGTCTCCTTTGGTCTTCACTCTTGTTTTTACTAGGGATTTCACAACAATGCAAACTCACTGTTGTGGAAGTTTGACGCTGCAGGGAAAGTGACTTCAATTTGGAAATAGCTGAAGGTTCACAAAAAGTTGCACAAAGTACTGCAGAGGTCCCTTGTGCCCCTCACCCAGCTTGTAAAAGGGGGAGCTCTGGTGGTGCAGTGGGTGAGGTGCGGGGCTGCTAACCAAAAAGGTGGCGGCTGGAACCCACCAGCTGCTCCACAAGAGAAAGCTGAGGCCTTCTGCCTCCACACAGATGACAGCCTTGGAGACCCTGTGGGGCAGTTCCACTCTGTCGTCTAGGGGCGCTGTGAGTGAGAATGGACTCCACGGCAGTGGGTGTGGTTTGGGCTTTGCTTCCCTGAAGACTGACAGCCTTGGAGACCCT